AACCAGAAGTACGAAATTCAAACCCAAAGCAACCTCAATATATAATTCTTTTAGTAATATTCTCCACTTTTCTACATAGTTACGAATACAATTCAAGAAGAAAGAAAAAATATCTCCATAATAAGAGTACATATTTAAAAATACAAAATACTTTTTTTTCAATTAAACTGAATGTGTTCCATGCGCACAATCTAAAGTATCTTTCCAACAAATGAATCAAGATACCTGAGTTTTATATCTCATTTTGAGGTCTACACTGGAAGAATAAAATACCAGATGATTATTCACATCCTTCAACAAGAATTAAATACACTGAGTCTAATACTTCTCACACAATGACTGTTGTAAAAAGTCTATACCACTAAAAAGACAATATGCATAGAAGTAAGATTTATATTCAAATGTAGATTACACAACCAATGGAAAGAAACACTGACACAGAATTCAGAGACCCAGGTTCTAAACCCTTCTCAGTAACTAATTAGCTTTAGGTCCTCAGGTAAATCTCACAATTCCCAGAACCTTCTCGAAGTTAAACTACATGATCTCCAAAGCTACTTCAGTTACAATATTCCAAAAATGGCAAGGAAAGGCAACACCTAAAACACATTATACCATTAAAAGTATGAGTCCTCGGGATGATACCAAACAGAGTAATAAAGGAAAATTCCCAACTAATTTAGAAGTGTATTTCTTATCTATGTAATCTTTAAAGTTTACAGTTCTGATCAAATGAAACAATAATTGAGAGTTAATAAATTTACTGAAATCTAAACTGCTTGCTATTTATTCTTTGGTGATATTCAAACTGAGGAAGTAACTTGAGTAGACAAATGTAGTATTCCTAATAAACTCTTTTTAAAAAAAATTTTATTGAGCATTTAGGTAGGTATTATGGTAAGTGCTCAAGATGTAATGAGGAACAAGTTAGAAACAGGTCTTCCCTCATGAAGTTTGCAGACTAAAAAAAAGAGGAGGAGAATAAATGGGATAAAGGTGAAGAAGGAAGAGATCTTTATAGCCAAAGAAGCATATACCTTTTTGTATCTTGAGGAATTAATAGGTACTGGACTTCCCAAATTAAATGTGTTCTTCTGTAAACAACAGAGCACTCAGGATCCTGCCTTGTGCTAAAGAGCAGTTCGACACCAGCTTTTCTTTTATTTGTATCATAAAATGATACCTTAAGATCTGGGATCAACAGTGATACTCTCTAGTATTGTCATTCCATCCTGAGAGTGCCTGCCTGCTCTAGATTTGAAATTTGTCCGCATTTTCTGGGAACGTCTTTGCTACTTCCCGTTTCTTTTCATGATTTGAACCTAAACTCTGATCTCTGCCTCTGACCCAGCTTCTCTTTGGGGCTTTCTGTCCAAATAGGACTTTCTAGATATCAATCCCAGGCTGACAACTCTTCCAATACTTCTTCTAGCTAGCCTAACTGGGACTCTGTATATGCCCATCTATTCAGAAACCAAACTTTGAGAGAGTATCTTCTAGTTTGTCTTGAAAATCCTAGACATCTCCTTCTCTATCACTCCATCTGACATAACATTAAACATCTCTTGTGTATTGTCACCAAAACATTACTTCAGTCTGTCCCTTCCTCTGAATCTCTACAATTTCCTTAGTTTATGGATTTTCACCCCAGAGATATTGGTCTCATCCAAAGACCTCTTAACTGGTCTCCCTGCCTTTGGTCTTCCCAGCTCTAATCTACCTTTCACATTGCTATCAGAGTAATGCTTCTGAAATATGAATATGAGTAAATCAGTATCCTGTTCAAATCTCCTTTGTGGTTCCCCCCAAATGTAGAACTGAACTTAACCTTTTAAATGGCATACAATGCTCTTCTTGGTGGACCTATTCTCTACCTCTTTCTAGAGCCTCATCCCTGCCATTCTCTGTCTCACACTTTCATACTGTAGTACTGCCAAATCAGTTGGGGTTTCTTTGTATTTATCATGCTGTTTCTCTTCCGTACCATGCCTACAATTGTTTACTCTGCACACATGGTCTTTCCTCTTTATCTGGCCAGCTTTAATATTCATCTGAGATATCAGACTCCATGACAGCTTCTGCACACCTGTATCACAGCTCTTTTTTTTTTTTTTAAAGATTTTATTTATTTATTTGAGAGAGAGAGTACAAGCTGGGGAGAGAGAAAGAGGGAGAGGGAGAAGCAGACTCCCCACTGAGCAGGGAGCCTGATGTGGGGCTCGATCCCAGGACCCTGGGATCATGACCCGAGCTGAAGGCAGACGCTTAACCAAAAGAGCCACCCAGGCGCCCCTGTATCACAGCTCTTATAGATAATATTGAAATTATATATGTGTCAGCTTTTCTAGAGAAAAAATATTCCTCAAGAGGAAGGATCACGCCAAATTCATTATTATGCCCACAGCATGTAATACAGTGTCTGGGACATAGTAGCTACTCAGTAAATTCTGTTAAACTGAATAAATTTGGCCTCTAAATGCCTTGTTGGGATTTATGACAAAAACAAATCCCTGATCTATGGGAACTGCTTGCCTAGTATTCCTTAATGACTATCTCAGTCCTCTTCCTCCCTGTAATGTATCGTTCTTACCATTCTTTGCTTATCTTATCTGTGAGCCTGGCCCAACTCTTAGCTGGACTTCATATTTATATTATGCGACCAATGCCAACAAAGCAATAGTGACACTATCCTCACCCAATCCTCTAGTTCTTCCAGGATTAACACTAACAGAAGAAATTCGTTTGGCAGATTTATGAAAACAATTACCAAATGCCCTGAGAGGTCCTTCTAATACTGCAAAATGTCAGCATGGACTAGCTGAATAGCAATTCTACTTTCTATATAGTTTTTGTTCTCTGATTTCAGATCTTATCTTCAATACTTATAGAGCTGTCCAGTCATAGTTCACGGGAATTACAGTATTGTAGCCCATCCATAACCTAAACCATCTTTCTAGCAAATAGATTAAATTCCTCCTTAGTCAGTTGGTCAGTGTGGTATTGCTTATCATGACCCTTTTACACTATAGAGGAACACTTGTCTCATGCAGTATTAAAACTCGTCTGATCAGAAGTTCAATCCCATTAAATGATAAGGGAAAACTGCTCACTAGCTCCCAAATTAAAGAGCTATGATTAAGAGTCATCTCTGGCTCTCATAATTTAACTGAACAACAGCAGTGAAAGCTTTCTGTTCAGAAATGATAAAGATTTTAACTTAAAAGAAAATTCCAAGTACATTGCTCTTGTTGTCACAATTGAGGAGTCGGGAAAAAGAAAAAAGAAAAATGCTTTATTAATGAACAACAGAAGTTTCTAGCCCAAAATTTCTGAGACAGCAAAACATGTATTTCTAAATTTCCTATGCAGGTGGCATAAATACAAGTTTGCATTTGGTTTTATCGAAATGGTTAGGAATGAACAGCATCACTGTACTTAACGTAGGAGGAAAATTTTACAAGGTTGTGCAAATTTCAATAGTCCATCATAATGCTATTAGTTTCTTATTAAGATTTTTTTTAAGGCACAGCTGGCCTTCCAAGGTGAACCCTGTCTTTCCCCACCACCTCCCACCTGTACCTTACTCATCAAGCTCAGGGCATTATCTGTGTTCACTCAGATATTCTTAACTTCTTGCCATTATTATACCTATAATTAGCCAACTGGAGAACTTCTGCATATTTTTTGTATGATCAAGTTTCAATACTACATTTTTGCAGAAACCTTCTGTAACACGCTGGTAGCATCATACCCTCTTATCTCCTAGCACAGATGTCATAGTCAGTTCTTCCTCTTGTGTTTCCTTGTCAATGTTTATATATTTTTATAACAATATAACACACCTTAAGGATTTTAAAAATTTGTATACATTTCCATTTTCCTTATTAATTTCCATGGCTTGCTAACACTTATAACCCTCATGTCTATACACAAAAAAAGTATGCAGTCAATAAATCTTGGCTGAATGAAAACTTTAGACAGTAATACACACAATGGTAAGAATATTAATTGTGAGTCTAACATGCAATCCATTTTCCCATTCTTTATACGGCACTGGAAAAGTCACATACTTTTTCTAAAACCTCACTTTTCTCATATTTTTAAATTACGATATGGGACAAACTTAAGAGTTCTTTCTTACAATAAAATCCTAAGTTGGACCACAGTTGTTCAGGTTTATAGTACAGTTGGTTTTCTTATAGAATTTAAATGGCATGGAAGATTTTTCACTTTAGCATCTCAAAGCTGAAAAAACCAGTTTAAGAAGGAATACAAATGCCTAAGTGTCAATACTTGGATAAACAGACACCTACATCTTATACGGTCATAATTTTCTATATATTTTAATTAAGGAATTTCCAAGTTCATCTGATATATGAGAATAGCTGGTAATCATCCCATAGTGCAGAGGAATCTTCTGCTAAAATTAGCAAATTGTTCAATTTTACTTAGATTTGCTTACCTGCCCTTTAAATTTAAATCACTAAAGAACCACAAAGCAAGAAAGTTATCCTCAGAACATAAAGTTTACCCTTCCCACTTTGCAGGTGAAGAAACAAGATATCCAGAGAAATGAAGGGATTTGTTTGAGCCACACAGAGATTTGGCAGGCTTTGAGCTTACCTCCAGGAACTAAAATATATTAAGTATCTATGTGTAAATAAAGGTTGGTTATATCTGCCTGGACCTTTATACATTTCCCGAGACATTGCCTATCCCAAGGAAAAGGCAGAAGAATTTGTCTGACAATCTAGTTTTGATATTTCAACAGTTTTACCTTCCTTTATTCTCTCATTCTGTGAACTATAGTCCTATATAGTTAAGCTAATTTTTAAATGTTAAACTAAAGGAACATGGAGGTTTCTTAAATGCATGACAATGATATCTTCCCCAAAACAGCTTTTATGTTCTGTTCTATAACAAAATGTATGGCTGGCCCAAATAGGATACCTTGAAAGTCATAAATATTATGGTAATTTTAGGACTTAAAGATAAATTACCTTGCTTTCTGCTAACCAGCGATGTGGGTCATAGTTAATATCAGGACTAGATGAAAAAACCTACAAAAGGAAATAGTCTATTAGAAGTAGAATTTTTTCTGAAATGAACTTACATAAGTGAAATTCTTCACCATAATATCCAAAAGTTTAGTCCCTAAATTTAAAGGTTTAAAAAGAAAAAAGTTCATATCAAGTACCCAACCAATTCCAAACCACCATTTATCTGGTATGTCTACTTAAGTACACATGTATGTATGTATATACGTATGCACTGACAGTAAATATTTAGCACAAATACAGAGACATGAATCAACTCTCAAGTGTTATCATTGTTAGAATCTCTGAAGGCTGATTCCAAGGATTTCTGGCAAGCAGCCTCAATTAAACCAGTGTACTTCATTTTTGTTTGTTTCTTTGCCTCAGTCTTGTTCCACATAATATATTTCACAGTGGGTTAGATGTAATTACACGAAACTTAATTCTTTGTCTCATTTATCCTTCTTTAATTTCATACTATGAGGGCCATTTTGTCTCATTAATGGTTGTGTAGAACTGACAGAAACTAATCAACATGACTTTGTGCAAACATTGCTTTATATTTCATGATGGTAACAAAATCCTACAATAAATAGGTTGTCTATACCAGCTGCCTTGATTTCCTTCACACCAACTCATTTATAAAATCCTTTGCCATCTGGTTCTACCTTATTACTAATAAAACGGTGCTCAAAGGTTGTCACTGACTTTATGATTGTAAACACAAAATTTTTTCTCAGTTCCTACTTTCTTTGAAACAGGTGCACCTGTGATATTTTTACAGGCCTCCTCTCTAGAAACTTTCTGCTTAAAAATACCCTATCCCTTTGCAAGAGATGTCTATTTCTATTCTCAAATATTTCCATACTTCCTGATGTGCGTGCACATCACTCCCCCAAGGAATATCACTAGGTAATTCATTTAGACACATGAATACATAATGATGCCGACCATATGCCATAAACAAGAGTGCTATATTCTTTTTTTTTTTTTTAAAGATTTTATTTATTTGAGAGAGAGAGAATGAGAGACAGAGAGCATGAGAGGGAGGAGAGTCAGAGGGAGAAGCAGACTCCCCGCTGAGCAGGGAGCCTGATGTGGGACTCGATCCTGAGACTCCAGGATCATGACCTGAGCCGAAGGCAGTCGCTTAACCAACTGAGCCACCCAGGCACCCCAAGAGTGCTATATTCTTATATCCAACTTTTTTCTCCTCCACTTTTCTCACCATCCAAATCTCATCAACTCTCATGCCTCTCTGACTTCAGTGAAATCCTGCCTCTAGTTCATAGTGTTTTCTTCCTCTTTGAACTCTGCTTTTTTGTAAGCATCTATTTGTCAATTATTGTCACTGATTATATGTTTTTATTGTTCTTTTCCATTCATCTGTGTCATAGTTTTCAATTAAAACTTCAGTGATCTAAGATCGAGTGTTCAAGATTAAAGTCTAAAATAATTTGATAGGCGTATAAGTAATGTTCATATTTTGTGATTTTTTTTTTTACAAATGTATATATAGTTTAGTGTTTAAGAGAACAGCCTTGTCCACTTACAAGTGGTGTGACTGAATTTCTCTAAGCTGCAGATTATCATCTATAAAGTAGGCAAACTGCCTCATAAGGCCAAAGTATAAATTAAATAAAATGAGGGTTAGCACAGTGTCTGGCACATAGAACACTATTATTACTACTAACTGCATATAAAGATGTCATCATCAGGAAATAGACTTCAAGGTCTCTTGTGACAAGAGCACTGTAACAACAATTTGTCATAAAAAGTTAAAAGAAACAGGGGGGCCTGGGTGGCTCAGTCAGTTAGGCATCTGCCTTTGGCTCAGGTCATGATCCCAGAGTCCTGGGATAGAGCCCCATGTCTGCTCCCTGCTCTGCAGGGAGTCTGCTTCTCCCTCTGCCTCCCCTACCACTTGTTCTCATCCTCTCTCCCCCTAAAATATTTTTTTAAAAAAGTTAAAAGATACATATACATATACAAATATATATGAATATATGACCAAAAAGAAGGACACTACATAATAATGTTAGCTAGCATTAGTTGAGTATTCACTAAGTGCAAGGTATTTCACTCCATAATATGCACCTTGTATTATCTTATTCTACTTTATCCTCAAAATAAACCAACTTATAAATGGGACATGCATTCTTAGAGAGAAGAGAAATTACATAACTTGTCCAAGGTCATACATTAGCAATTTGGAGAGATGCAATTTGAGCCTACATCTGTCTTGATCCAAAGTCTATCCTCTTTATACTCTACAAATGAGTGAATACTCAGACCAAGTGTTATGAGAAAAGCTCTTCAATTATCAAAGATTGGTCTATGAAAATGATGTAACTTTAATTCAGACACTTTCCTAATTGTTTTATAATAGTCGTTGCTTATTGTTTGTCCTTAAGTTTTCAAACACTACATGCATTTACTAAAGTGGAATAAGTAATAAATATGGTAGCTGGAGAAAGAAAAAGGTAGTTAGAAATAATATCAATACTCCCAAGGACTTTTCTCAGGCTCATTCCTTACATATCTATTATCCAATTCATATCATAGCTGTCACTCTCTACATAAAATGGCTAAAAACTTTCATCAGCAATATATCAAAATCAACAAATGACAAAGAATAATTGTAATTATTCCATTTTTTAAAACATTTTGTAAGGACCACCACTCTCTGAACTATAAAGCATAGAATCAATTTTGTTTTAACAACACCTTGGGTGGTTTATTTGAGGTGAGAGCAAATGTTATATTCTTCGGTATTCATTTTTTTCCCCAAGTTTATAGGAAGGTTAACTGTTATAACAGAAGTTACTAATAGAAAAAGACCCACAATGAAAAAAGTGTACTCTAAACAAAACAACAACAAAAAACTTAATAGAATTTCCATTCTTTTGGATTTACTTTCCACCCATCACTTGGATTAAATGTCTTTCTCTAGGGGAAGAGGTGTAAAGACCCATTACCAAAGTTACTGCATTCCTGAAAGCCTATTATAAAATAGGGTGCTTTTTGTAGTATGTTGGAAGGATAATTTGTGCCTCAAAAAGAAATAAAATATTTAAGTAATCTGCTATCTACCCACTATATTTTAGCCTGTAACTGCCCATCACAAGGTTTATATATCTTATAGTATGATCCAAATTATACCATTTCTATGTCTCTATGTGATTGAAAATAAGCCATCCTGACGCAAATACTTAAATATAGAATAAAGATTTCATTGTTAATATGTGCTTCTTTTAGATGAAATTAGGATCTGAAGGCCACACATCCTTAAATATAGGTAAACATGACAAGTCTTAAATAAAAAAGTAAATAAACAAATAAAATTAATAAAATAAATTAATTAAATAAAAAAGGTAAACATGACAAGTCTTAAATAAAAAAAGCAGCAGCAGACAGGAAAAAGAATAGGCCCTATAACAAAACTGAAAGAGTTTTTCCTCTAAAGCCAATTACTTCTCATATTTGGCTCACAGTCCTCTCAAAATGACATCTGAGCCTTTTTAAAAATGTAGATAGGAATACATATTGTAGAAATTCCATCAACTTCACCAAATTCTACTCATTGAGATACTTCTGTTAAAGGTGAATCCTAAGATACCTTGCACTGCAAGAGTAGAAATATAGTTCTATTTTCTTTAAAACACCACATAAGAAAAAAAAAAAAAAGGAAAAGAATAAGAAGGAAGAGCAGGAAAAAAGAGGAGAAAGCAGCATGAAAAACAAAAAGAGAAGATCATTTTATATGAGGAAAAGATAAATGACAAAATAAAAAGAAGAAACACCTGGAAAGTATTAAAAACTAAGAAGCCCTTAGGCATAACACTAAAATTTGAGTCCTGCCATCTCATCACTTGAAATCAGTACAGGGTAAATGATGGCTAAGTGTTATGGTCCCACTGTATCGAAGCAATGCAATGCATCATAGCAGTACTACAACCTAGACTGAAGGAGGTGCTCGCCTTCAAGGAATTAAAAACATTCATGATCAATCCTGTTTTTATTTTTCATTTCATTAGAACTATAAACTGGATAGCAATATTCTGTTTTAAAGATAGAAAAACTCACTTGAGTGTGATTTGTCTTAACAGGGAACGCAAATCGCATAGGGGACATGTGATTAAGCTCCGGAGTTAGATTACCAAGGTCTAAAGTCCTGGTTCTAGCATTTAACGAGCTACATGGCCAGGGGCAAGTTACTTAACCTCGCCAAGCCTTGCTTTCTCTAGAATGAATTTAATCAAAGTACCTAAAGGACAGGGTAGTTTTAGGGGTTAAGGGAGAAAATCCTACACCGTAGCTACCACAGTACCTATAATATAACTAGTACTCAATAGATAATAGCCATTAATACACTAACAACAAAAATGGCCTGTGATAATGAAAACCCAGGCCTTTGGACTCCAAGGATACTTTTTCTGTCAGAACTGCTGCCTCTCTCATAAGACATTTTCTTTTACAGAGTGAGATAGAGGCAATTCAATGAATTAACGGTACACTTTCTCTCCCAGGACCATGCAATAGGTATAGTATCGTGTTCTTAACAGTGCAAGATGTTATTTTGTTTCATAAAACTTGCCAGAATAAAAATGTGACTACCACGTAACTATGCATTAAAATCTTATTATAATTATATATTAGGAAACTAACTGAAAGGCACAATGAGAACTCATAACTACTTTCAATTTCTCCATCGAGTCCCTGGAGAAGGTTTTACAAGCTGCATCAATTTCCTTTCCTATGACACCAAGAATGGATTCCTGTTCAGTCTCCAGGCAAAGAAGTTGATCCTTGAGCTGCAATCTGGCCTCTTCCATCCTCCTCAAGTGCTCTTCCTCATTGCTTATATGCTTTTCCTAAAACATCGATAAAAAGAACAGAAGTTAATTATTAAATAAAGGCAAGAAACACTTGTAATATCTGTACAACCAACTCAAAGGAGTGTAGTAGAAAACAGATCTGACCCTGTCAGTCTCCTTACTTCACTAAAATAAACGTTTTGCCTACTCATCAACTGAGGTCAAGTTACAGAGAATTCGGAAAAAGGGCACTGAAGGAACTGAGTGAGTGGATACTTGGCAAAGAAAATTAAAGTAATTCTGTAACCAAACGAAAATGAAGTTAAAAAAATCCTTTACATTTTAATAACATAATGCCATTAATGGACTGGAGGGTAAAAGCTGATGCCACAAACAGACTTTGAGCTTTCAATAAATATTAGTGAAATACTAGAAAAAGTAAAATATAAAATAAGATTATGTTAGTTTCATTTCAGAAAAAAATACCTATTACTACCTTATCTCATCAAAACATTGTTTTTAAAAAGTCTAAGTTTTCAAATGCAGTCATACTGCATAAATGCTTTGAGTCATGTAAATTTGATAAAAGCAAGATGGAGGTACGTCTCAAGTAAGCAAATATATTTAATGAAAAGAGGTTTCTAAGAATCCTTAAGAGATTACAAAGACTTGGGGCCCCCCTCTAGGCAAAGTCAGTCTCAATCATGATTGCACAATTTCATTACTAGAGAAATTCTAGTGGTGTAGCACAAACCTGAAAGAAAGTAACAGAATCACTAGAATTATAAGTATAAACAATGGCCCCAAAAGTCATGGTGGCTGGCTAGCTATGCTTTCACTCATTACACAGTAACCTGATCATTCTTTACCTACTCTTAAAATTAAAATAATAAAGAGATCCATCCACTCAATGAAAGTTAATCATGAAAGGAAAGATAGCATTTTAGCAGAATCACAAGATATTTCCTTTCAACTCAAATTACTTTAAAAAATAAACGAAACACCCTCTGCCCAAAAGAAGAGAGTCCTTTCACAAACTGTCTTCTATCCTTCCCTCCAGCTTCACACCTCCTTCCCACTCTGTCATATGTCAACTACTTGCAGCTTCTCAAATATGCCTTCATATGTGTCTCCAACCACATCTGATGTGTACAACACTGCCTGAAGCTGCACTATTTGAAAATGGGGCTGGTAGCTAAGAGACAGCGTTTATCTTGACGACTACATCCTTCCGATATGTATCTCAGCTTGGTAAACTTAGGAACTGGATCCTCTCCCCTTTGGTACCCTGAGTGGAGTCCTCTTTCAGCAAAAGAGTAACATTAAGCTCACAAGAGACTAATGTACAAACTAGAATGCCACTCAATTAACTACATCAGTTTACAATGAGAACCATAACTGCCATATGGATCAGAATGTTCATGTCAGCATAACCAGTACATTTTCTCCCTGCAGACCAATGTGGATGGGAAGGCAAATTATAATCAGAATGTTGCTTAATGAATAGGAAACTGGGCGAGGGGAGTTTGTTTTATGAAACAATGTGTAAATGGCATCACGCTAATGGCAGCCTGGCGTGTCCGTTGACACATCAGGGATTAACAAACCACAACAAGTGTTCCATTCTCCTGGGCAGTGTGTGAATGGAGACTGAAGTACATCTCCCCTTCTCCCTTGTTCACATTGTTTCTGTCCAAACTCTCCCTCCTGACTGATACGGCATCTCTTTAGAGATACTGATATCTTCACAGAGTCTTGCTCTCCTCTAGGAGTCTTTCTGAAAAATTAACATCCTGGCTCTGAACATTTGATGATTTTAAAGCTTACTTACTAGAAAGCAACCTTCCTGTCAAGTCCCTAGGTGAGGATACTCGCCCCTGCACTGTTGGCTATGTACCTACCACCTATACTTCCTATCCTTCAAAATTTATCCTTCAAGACTTGGTCTCCTTCCTTTAATGATTTCCCAAAGCAGAATGTTCCCAGAGCATATTATGTATATCACAGTTTTAAAAAAATATATATATCAAGCTGTAATATAATTGTTTTTCACCAGCCTCCCTCAATAAACTGCCAATTTCAGGAGCCTGCAAAACATGCTTATAATCATCTTTAAACTCCCCAAATTTGTTGAATAAGTGATTTAAAATTTTTCAAAGACTCAAATTCAACACTGGAAAGATCATTTCATCAATGACCATGCAGATCTATATATACTCAGAAGCTACTGAGGTGTGTTTGGATGTTCCTTCTATGCACACATAGACCTCCAGACTGCTGCTGTATTCTCACTGTTGTGAGATTAATAAAGAAAATACTCTATCGGGGTTACTGAAGTATTTTGAGGACAACTGGTGATATTCTAAACCCAGGCAATTCACAATGATGTTCTAACTGTTCTTTCTTTTCCCATTTCCCTCAGAGCCAGCTTTCTTCTATCCACTATCAGTTTTCTGTGCTATCACTTGACTCATCAATAAGAAGACAAAACTATTTCTATATTTTGATATTCCTAAAAAATACTGATATTGTCAGAAAAGGCTCTATAAATTCAATCTCTTTACCAAAGACTGAAAACTTCATTATCCACTTCACTTATCTTTTGTGAGACAGTCCGCAGGCCATGTCTAACTGACCTCCCTTTGAAGTAAAACTCACAGAACTATGAACGCACATGGACTTTTGGGATCAGTAGGTCTAACTACCTATTATTCTTTCAAGAATCCTTTCTTTGACATTTCCAACAAACGGTCATCCAACCCCCTACGTGACCAGCCCTAGTTTCAATGAATAAAACACTTGACAAAACTATAACATCTTTTCATTTGTCCATGTGCTATACTCAAGAATGAAAGTGAATAGAGGGAGGAGCAAGATGGCGGAGGAGTAGGAGACCTAAATTTCCTCTGGTCCCAGGAATTCAGCTAAATAGGTATCAAACCATTCTGAACACCTACAAACTCAACAGGAGATCAAAGAAAAGAATAGCAGCAACTCTCTGAACAGAAAAGCGACCACTTTCTGGAAGGTAGGATGTGCAGAGAAGTGAATCCGAGGTGATATTCAGGAAGACAGATGGCGGGGGAGGGAGCCTCTGTGAGCCGCTACTGGCAAGTGATAGAGCAGCGGAGCACAAAATCGAACTTTTAGAAGTCTGCTCCACTGAGGGACGTCGCTCCAGTGGCTAAGTGGGGGGTGGAACCCTCGCTGGGACAGTGTGGTCTCAGGCCCCTCGGGGTCACAGAAAGACTGGGGGTGCCTGAGTGACACAGAGCTCCCAGGTATCGGAGCAGGGAAGCCAGCTGCAGAGATGGAGCTAAGGTGCGGGCTCGCAACTCGGGGTTGCCATAAACTGTGATCCATGGCACAGCTGGGCCACTGCTCTTCCAGCAGGGACCCAACAAGCGGCAGATCCGGGGAGACTCCCCTTCCTCCCCCAGGAGGAGCGGCGTGGGAGCACACCGCAGGGATCTGCTGGGTTTGGACACTCCAAATGGGGTCGGGTGCCAGAGACAGAAATGCTCGGTCACAGGCCGTGTGAGCATGGAGTGCGGCCACAGATCAGGGAGACAGGAGTGACTGACTGCTTTTCTCTGGGGGCTCACTGAAGAGTGATGCCCCGAGGTCTCGGCTCCTCCAGGGCGGATATTGGGAGGCCGCCATTTTCACTCCCATCCTCCAAAGCTGTACGGAAAGCTTGCAGGGAACAAAAGCTCCCAAGAGCAAACCTGAGCAGATGACTTAGCCCGCCCCCAGCAAGGGCGGGGCAATTCCACCTCCGGCAAAGACATTTGGGAACCACTGCAACAGGCCCCTCCCCAGGAGATCAGCAAGAACAGCCAGCCAAGACCAAGCTTTCCGATCAATGAGAACAGCGGGACTCCAGCGCTAGGGGAATACAGCACATAGAATTCAGGGCTTTTTTCCCACGATTCTTTAGTCTTTCAAAGTTAATTTCTTTAATTTTCTTTTTCTTCTGTTCCTATTTTTTTTTTAATTTTTCTTTTTCCCTTCTTCAACCAACATCTTATCAATCCCTTTTTTAAAAATCTTTTTTATTTTTCATTTTTAGAGTCATAGTCTATCCCTTCATTGTAGTTAAACTTATTTTTGGTTTTGATTTTGAGTCCATCAAAATCCTAGAGGATAACACAGGCAGCAACCTCTTTGACCGCAGCCGCAGCAACTTCTTCCTAGAAACATTGCCAAAGGCAGCAAGGGCAAAAATGAACTATTGGGACTTCATCAAGATAAAAAGCTTTTGCACAGCAAAAGAAACAGTCGACAAAACCAAAAGACAACCGACAGAATGGGAGAAGATATTTGCAAATGACATATCAGAGAAAGGGCTAGTATCCAAAATCTATAAAGAACTTATCAAACTCAACACCCAAAGAACAAATAATCCAATCAAGAAATGGGCAGAAGACATGAACAGACATTTTTCCAAAGAAGACATCCAAATGGCCAACAGACACATGAAAAAGTGCTCAACATTGCTGGGCATCAGGGAAATCCAAATCAAAACCTGAATGAGATACCACCTCACACCAGTCAGAATGGCTAAAATTAACAAGTCAGGAAATGACAGATGTTGGCGAGGATGTGGAGAAAAGGGAACCCTCCTACACTGTTGGTGGGAATGCAAGCTGGTGCAGCCACTCTGGAAAACAGTACAGAGGTTCCTCAAAAGTTGAAAATAGAGCTACCATACGACCCAGCAATTGCACTACTGGGTATTTACCCCAAAGATACAAATGTAGTGATCCAAAGGGGTACCTGCACCCCAATGTTTATAGCAGCAATGTCCACAATAGCCAAACTATGGAAAGAGCCAAGATGTCCATTGACAGATGAATGGATAAAGAAGAGGTGGTATATATATACAATGGAATATTATGCAGCCATCAAAATATGAAGTCTTGCCATTTGCAACGACGTGGTTGGAACTAGAGGGTACTATGCTAAGCGAAATAAGTCAATCAGAGAAAGACACGTATCATATGACCTCACTGATATGAGGAATTCTTAATCTCAGGAAACAAACTGAGGGTTGC